AGTAATTAAAAAACCCAAAACATCAGAGATTAAACCTGAATCTTAAGTCTCTATTGCAGTATATGGAGTATTTTGTCGGTTTATTCCTAAGAATGCTCCTTAAACCAAACCAGAGTCTTCCTGCTAAAATTATTTAATCAGAATCACACTTCTATATATATTTTATACCACAGTTTATTCCCAAAGCTGGGGATAACCTCTCATTTCCTTAAAGCTCTTAAAAACTTCCTTACTGGAAAAGCAGAGAAATCTGCTGTTTGCAAGTTCTATTTGTTTATTGCTTACTTCCAAACTAAAGTAGTTAATTTAATGAAGGGGGAGAAAAAGATTAATGTGGTGCCCGTAGCCATTTCCCAAATTTTTCAGAGTTTATAGACCTAGGGAGACGGGGAAAAAGCAACTTCTCAGCAGTGGAGCAGAATAGGCTGAAATGACCCTGTGAAACCAAAGTGATTCTGGGAATTAAAGGATGTTCACTCCTCTTATGTTTCTATGCTGCAAACTCCTTTTAGGGCTCCCAGTAGTACCCATTAGCAATAGCCAAGCTTTTCTGTTTTAATTTAATTTAATTTAATTTCCACCAACAAATTCTACCCTGTGGTGAGAATTGACAGTATCATGTTGAGAACCATTAGAGCATATTTGGATTGTTTTTACTCCATGTATATATAAAAAAAAAAAATCCCCCACCCTTCTCAGTATTTTTTAGACAAGCAACTTCATAATAAGAGTGAGGCAGACACAACGGAGGCATCGTTATACTGTAGGATACCACCATAGGGAGCATGGTTGGAGATACAGCAGAACATGCTGTGGCATTACACTACAGCGTGGCCTGGTCCCAGCTCCATTCTGAACCTCCCTATGCTAAACCAGAATGGAGCCTGGCAGCACTGGTGGTGTCCTGCCAGGTACCACTGGAACATAGCTGGTATCCTTTTTCTGTAAGAAGATCCTATATATCACTGCTGCTTCCTTTTCTCCTTGAGAGTTTTCTGTTCTCTAAGGACATCTTCACACTTGAAACATCTTCATGCTTATGTAGCCTTGGGCTCTACTAGGAATTCCTATTGGGAATTCCCCCACTGGGAATTCTGCCACCAGATTTCAAAGGAAAGAGAATAATAACGCTCTTCATTAATATAGGCTTTTCTGTCATGACTTTTAGGCCCCTCTCCAGGCAAGCAGGCAAGCACATGTTTAACATTAAACACACGAGTAGTCTCCATTCACACGCTGCAAGCTAGAAATGCTCATTAGTGTTGGATCATGGCCCCAGCTGAGCTGCTAACACACTTCAACTAGAGAGCTTGGCTGGAGGAAAGGTGGCACTGAAACCTTTCACCATCACTGCTTTCACCATCACTGCTGCACCAAGCTGCACCATCACTGGCTGAGCAGCTTCAGCATTTCCTTCCCAAGCACTGCTACTCCAATGGCCGATAGGCTGTCCGCTTGGCAGCAGAGGCACAAACTGTTGAGCTGCCACAGTGTCATCATTCAGGGCTAGTTAGCTGATGAGCACAGCTCAAAATACACCATATTCAAGTGTATCCTCTGGAGCATTTTCAGCTTTAGCATCTTTGCAATGAATGGTGAAAGGGGAATGATTTGAGGCAGCAGTGAAATAGCATGATTGCTGCAGGCTCTGAGAGAGTGCTGGGTCCTGTAACACTGTGTGGTAAGTGCCTGAGAAGTTACATGGGGCTCCTCAGACCATTATGTTACATGTCAAAACATGGATTGATCAAGCTTTGAAAACCAGCATTGGATGGGGTTTCTGTACATCTTTATGTATCCTGGGAAATACCTAAGCAAAGCCACCTTACACACGGTGGCTTGCTCAGGTCTGTGCAGAAAATCACAGTACAAACTAAACAGTCTATCACTCTTAGTTTTAAGTATCCCAGATGAAAAGACACATTTTTGTTTTAAACTGCTTTTAATACTGTTTTCTCAAAAAAAAAAAAAAATCATTACCTCCTCGATCTTCTCAACAAGTCTAAGCCTCACAGCTTCCCTGCCTCCTCTGGAATTACTAAGTCATTGCAGACATCAAAATTAATGAAGAGGTGAAAGATTCAGCAGAAAGGCAAAATCTTACTGGAAAAAAGAAATATTTCTTGATATCAAAAGCAATTTAAGAATAATGAACATATCTATCAGAATAATAAACAAACTTCCTGATGCGTACAAGAACGCACATGAAGGAGGACATAAGACTTTGGGGTTTGGTTTTTTTTCTTTAAAACACCAATTCATTTTTAAAGAGAAAGTATCTATATGCTTCTGGGGCTTTACATGAGTGGGATTTGCACTGCCTAAACTTTTGCTGTACTTTAAACTCAGCTAAATTAGCCAAACAGTGCAGAATGGGGGCTCTCTTTGCTTCATCCTTCAAGACAGATGGGTTAAGCTGAAACACAGTTCTCCATGTATCCATCCATGAGCACCCTGCTACTTAACACTAAGGAAATGGCAGAATGGTTCTGGCTAGCTTGAGATTGAATTTGAACAGGGATGAGAGATGTGGAAATGTGGCTAGGGGTTAAAATTAAATGAATACATATTCAAAATAAATGCAATGTGCAATTCAGCTGAACCTTCGTGTAGGAAACTGAGATGTTTAGTTTCTTTGTGATATAGACTCTCAGTCCTTCCTGTCAGTGGCTTTGCAGCTGTTGCAAACATAGAAATAACCTGTAGCTCTATATTCCACACTAGACCTGATAAAGCAGTATTATTATAAGATTCTTGGTATTGGAAGAAAATGTTTGTCATAAGCCCTCATTTAAATACTCCTGAAACAAATACTTCTTTAGTCGTACCTGTACAGCAAGACGACTTCTTGGCAATTCAAACAGTCTAACCGAGAATAAGCGTAACTAATGTATGGGATACTGTAGCACTCCCATACCACTGCTAATAGAAGAAAAATTAATATTAGTTCCAATATGAATGGAGTGCTGGATTGACTGAACAGGGAGCTTTGAAATAAATATCTAAGAAATGTTTGGATGAAATGGACATCTTTACAGACATTTGGTCTGCATTTCAGAAATGTAGATGATTAAATCCACATTGTTGGCTTCTTCCCCCTCTGCACTATGTCTTTCTTTACATCTTGCAAAAAATTTATGAACAAAGTAATTGTAAATCTGCAATGTCTGTCTTGTCACTTAGATTCTTTTCAGAAATGCTGCCTTGCCAATGTAGATATACAATCCTGAATGATTAATATTTATTACTTATAATTCTAAATACAATGGAAGGTCACCAAACATACCCTGCCTAAAGGAGTCTGGAGCCCTTTAAAATCTCACTAGTGATGGATCCTGAGTGAGCTTAAAATCTTAGCAAAACACTTTTCTATGTAGGATTTCCAGTATTTCCTGCTTCTGACTATGGCTAAAGCCAAAAAAGCACAAAGGTGAGCAAAAGATACAGATCTGAAAACATGAGCTTGGATCTCGAACCCAAACATAGGTCCGGGAGTGCCTGGATCTTGGATCAGCCTATAATAGAGTTATAAGTAAAATGCGAAGTTAGGATGCAGGGTGAGACTTGAATTCAGATAGAACAGGCATAGTAGGTAAAAACTGTTTCATTTTGCTGTTTCTTATATCTTTCCTTTTCTTATATCCATCAATACATCTATCTAGAGTATCTTGGGGGTGTTAGAATAATGAAGATATTTAAGGATTTTTTAATTCTTATTAATTAAAAGGAAGGTAGCTTGGGGATTTTCAGATTTTATAATTAAATTCTAGAAAAATTTTACATAAAAATCATCTCAAAAAAAAGCTCATTGCACTAACAGCTCATTTTCTTTTTGTTATAACCTCAATCATTTTTAAACACAGTTTTTTACAAATAGATGCAACTGGAGGTCACTGAGAACAACTGATTATGATTTAGCCCTCTTCTAGCAAACCTAAAGAAAGACATTAGAACATATCAGAACCACAGGATCCAGTAAACTGGTGAAGATTCAGGTGGAAATCAGGTCAGACCCTGAACCTGTTCACTTACCCTGCCTGAGATCTGCTTCATATTTGGACAATCTTCTCTAAGGAGCTAAATATAATAAGCACATAAGAATCTGCATCTGCCTCTGCGTCTTTATTCAAAGATTCACTGCAGCTGTGATTAAGCAAAAGAACTAACCGAAGTACAAACCTGGAAAAAAATCAACTGAGAAAAATGTAGATTCTGTTGATGGGCATGCCTCTAGCCAAATCATAGTGAAAATTAAAAAATCCCAGTGACCATTAATCAGATAGAAGACTTTTCTCTGGAAATGAATTTGCCGAGTATTGCTGATGACACTTTTCTAAACAGGCAGCCATGTTGAGCAGTGTGATGAGTGAAAACCAGAAAGACAGACAGAAAGGACTGAGTCAATTAAAATAAATAAATAAATAGTTGCCATAATTAAAAAAAAATAAATTACAAATAATTCCAATCTCATGAAGAAATGTTTTTAACAAGCCACATGTGCTTGTGCAGACACTTCTAATCTCATTAGATTGTTCTGGCTGCTATCAGTGTTCTCTGAGCCAGTTGATTTCTCAGCAGTGTTTTAAAGAGTGCGAGCCTTTGCTCTCCAGTCTAGCCACTGTTAAAATAGCCCATTCTAGGAGAAGACTTGGGAGTTCATGTACTTTCTTCCAAGGTTTTGAAAGTTTGGAACAAATTGACTATTGCATGTGAAACAATAGTCAACCACAAACTATCTTCACAATCAACAATCAACATTCTGCTCCCAGCTGGTTAGTGTGAAAAGTGGAATAATCCCACCAAAGCAAGAGGATGGCTTCAGATTGTCATCAGCATCACATGGCAAAGGCTGACTTTCAATCCTGTCTCCAGTCCTCCAGCTTTTTGGTGCCAAACAAGAATCTCTCTGCTGTGAGATTCCCCTCGGTCAGAGTTCACAAGTTTGTGGTTCCCTTCAAATCAGTGCAGCTCTAGCAGATCTCATCAGAAGGGAAGCCACCTTGGGTTACATCTTAGCCTTATTTTATCCCTGAAAACAACACTAAATCTCCCCAAACTGAAAATCAAGAGCCATGTGCACTGCTGTACATATCAGGGCAGCTGGGTTTCATGCAAAAGAGCTGTCATTATGAATTTGCTAAAGTAAGGTGCAAATAATCACTCACATAAAACAGATTGTGTCATGTAGATGCTACAGATAGAACAAATAATTGGTTTTAGAACATAATCCTAATTCAGAATCATGTAACCTGAATGGGTCAAACCTGGATGAATGGGACTAAGGCATCATGAATGGATTTTGGCTAGCATACTTGTTGAATTTCTGGATGGAAGTGTGCCTCTCTCTGTTTTAGCCTGCCCTCTCTGAGGGTCTCAGAGCAAACTTCTGGGGTGAGATGATGAGTGTTTGAAAGTGATCCATTTGGAGCCCAACATGAGGAAAATGCCCCCCCCTACCTGGAATTCATGTGCAGCAACAGCTTTCTACTGCCTATCCAAGTTTCCCAAGATAGCAGTCATAAAGGAACTGGCAACCACACAGTCAAGATGACAATACCCTGCATCGTTTGGTTAGCTTTGCCAATTTCCTCTATAGTCACTGGAGACAATATGCTGTCCCCATTATCACTGTGTCTGCATGTCACTACCAACTTGCAGATCCAAGGTCTGCCCACCCAATTACTTGTTCATTCTTGTTTGTTTAAATATTCAGATCCAGCAATATCATGTAAATTCTATGCAAAGTAGCATCTGCAAGTCTGACATACTTGTTCAGGTTTCCCCCTCTTGTGCCAAGTTAAAAACAAATGCCCTATAAACTCTTGGGCCTGCTAAAACAGAATATGTAGTCTGAGAGTTGTTTTTTTTTTAAATATAACTGTTAAAAACATTTCTCCTTTAGGGTCATACGCCTTTTCCCCCAACCCCTCTCAGATTTTGCTCCTGCCTCAAGGATGTCAACAGCACTAGGGAAAAAAACGTCCTTGAAATAGCCTACAGAAGAACCCGTTCTATGTGTTCCTAACTCTTGAAAATTCAGCTAATATCCTATTTTTAAAACTCCAAAGAACACAGGTGGTGATATACCCCAACATGAAAAAAGGAACTATTAAAGTGGATTAATTTCAAATACTGATTGCAAATAATACTAGTTGAGCAAGATCTCAGGTTCAGATTTCAAAAGGTCTCCATGATCCCACACTAGAGCTGCTTTCTCTTTTCTCAAGGGAGAAGCAGATTTGTCCCTTACCAATACACTTGAACAGATGAAGTCATAGGGATGCCAACCAGATAGCATAACAACAAAGTATATCTTAAGGCAACAAGGAGAAGAGTCTGTAAAAGGGGATAATGAGCCACCACTGAGGTCACTTAGGACTTGCTGAGCCGCTTGGCCACGTCTGCATAAGCTTGCTCAATTTCCTTGTCAGCTGCACAGGTGTTGGTGAATTCATCCCTGGCATACGCGTTCTTCAGGTACCGCCACAGCCCTGTCATCTCTGTTGGGAACTCAAAGTTGCGGTATTTCTTTGCAACAATCTAAACAAAGATAAAAGAGAGAAAAAAGTGAATTATTAGTGGTATATCTCCAGATTCTCTTTTAGAGAGCTTCTTACTCTTTCTTATTACATAATTAATCATAGAATCATAGTATAGTTAGGGTTGGAAAGGACCTGAAGATCATCAAGTTTCAACCCCCCTGCCATGGGCACTAAACCATATCACTCAAGGCTCTGTCCAACCCAGCCTTGAGCACCTTCAAGGATGGAGCATTCACAGCTTCCCTGGGCAACCCATTCCAGTGCCTCACCACCCTTACAGTAAAGAAATTCTTCTTTATATCTAATCTAAACTTCCCCTGCTCAAAGTTTGAACCCTACCACTACAGTCCCTAATGAAGAGTCCCTCCCCAGAAATAGGAAAGGACAGAAATGTTTGGAGGCTCAGGGACTTGAGAAACAAAAAAGCCTGAAAAGTGACTGTTTGTTGTCCCATATCTTGCAAGGATTCCACTTGGCCTAAAGACACTCTAAACCAATGGCTTGGTTACTGTCACCATATTAAGACTTCTATGGTATCTGAAGTTCATTAATTTTACCATACTGGGTTTGGGGGTTTTTTACCAGTCTTCAGTACATTACTTGAAGCTGAGATGCCACATCAGAAAAAGCTGATAAGCTGAATCATAAAATGCAAGATAGGTTTAAGAAAAAGGTATTAGCAACAATTTTATTTAACATATTTTCATATTAATTTTAACATTTATATTTACCATTATATTTTATATATCCTGTATCTGTATTTTTAATATATGCAATTTATTTTGCCTGGCCAGTGATGTCAGAGGATGTAACCACCTACAGCTGTTGGAAGGCTGTATCTGTCTTCATGCAAAAGAAAAATTCAGGGTGATATGGGTACCATGATTGAGAAACCAAGATGATTTAGCAGACATTAGAAACAGACGTATTAGAACAAACTGGGAGAGAAAATGGTTATTTCAAGACTTGTCAGACTAGGAAATTGTCTATCAAGGGAAATTTTCGATTTCTAAAAACAGTCAGGCCCTTATTCAGGAAAATAGTTAAGTGCATGCTTAATTTTAAGCACCTGTATAGTCCCATTGAAGTCAATGGGACTAATCTGTGCTTAAAGCTCGCTGGTGGGTTAAGTAGCTTCCTGGATTGGGACATTTCAGTTTTCCTGTAAGAATATACCATATAGAATAATCCTGCGGTGACAGAATGAACTGCTGATAGGAAGGGATGGATTAGCTAATTTAATGAGTGCTTCCAATCTCTAATTTTTCTGACAGTATAAAATTGTTCCTGGGCATAAATTACATACATATGTGCCACAGAGTTCCCCTTTATTTTTAAAGCACATGGTAGAGCTCTTTCCCATCTCAGATTTCTCAGGACAGTCATGCTCTTAGAAATGACTGTGATTTCTTTTTATTAGCAGGATTCACTTGGTATATGCAAGTCCAAATCCTGTCCTAAACTGCATTTAATTAAGCATTCTTGCCTTCAGTGATGCTTCACACACACATGGGGAAGATAAAACCCACTGGGCAACTTAAGTCAAGATTTTCATAATTTCCAGCACACATCTTCCATCAAATTAAAAACTAATTTACCCTTTTCTTCCATCTGTAAAATGTTTTTCAGGCAATATCCTATGGCTATGCTTGTCTGAGAAAGATTTTAATTCTTTTTTAACATCTTTCATTTCATCCAAGGGGACAAGAACCAGTAAAGGGCCGCATATTCATTTTGCACTGTCTGACTCCAATGTTACCAATGAAGACAAGCCAAATAAAGAGCTAAATTTGTGAGGATATTATCACATTTCTTACCTGGTGACTTATGCACTTTTGTACTGTTTTTACCTCCTTTGCATGTGTGCAGTCAGCTGCCAGGCTCAGTTTATGTTTTGGCTCATGGAGCCAAGTTAGACGCATGTCTTTAATTCCTAGCTTATTTGCTTGCCAAGGCCTGCCAGGTACTTGCTTTATTCTAAAGAAACATGTCATCTTATAAATAAAGTAAATGCAACATTTACAAGTCAAGATGATGTACACCGTTTGCACTATACCAGTGACCATTGTACATCTTAAATCCTGGACCTCAGCAGTGACTTTGATTTGTTAACTTCTCTGTGTGAAATATCAGCTGGAACAAATATTCCCTAAAAAGATGGACTGCTGCTCTTAAGTTATAAATGGATGGGAACTGACTAAAGTTCTGATTTCTCTCTTAAGAATAATGGAAACTAATAAATATGAAAGACTGCTGTTACTTGCAGCAGGGTAAAAATAAAGAGATGAGATACCTAGATCTTAATATTGTCTTTGCCACTAATTAGTGATGGGACAGTTTCCTCATGTATTTAATACATTATTTAAATTACCTTTAGGAAATAGTGAGGAGCAAAGGTACTTAAGGTATCTATGCTGAAATACTTTAGCAGGCAGCTGTCAGAGCAGGACACTTCATTGTCAGATAAGGCTTCTTTGACCATCACATGACATCTTTTACCTTGACAACATGGAGCTTGGGCAGAAGATTGCAGTCAGCAAGGGTCAGGTCATCTCCATCCAGAAACTTGCGTTTAGACACTTTCTCCTCTTCAGTGCTGTCTGCATCAATCTCCTCTGGCAGAGGGGTTCTCAGATAGTCATCCAGCTTCTTCAGAGCCTTCACCAAACCTTTTTCAAGGGCTTTGTCAAAAAGAAATGAATAAGTGATTAGGGCAAAGTAAGAATTATTTAGAAACACCCACTGTCAATGGCTATGGTAGTATCTAGAAAAAAAATAAGAATCATCTTTTTGTTGTTAATTTGCACTCCAAAGTAGCCCAGCTAGGTCTGCCTGAAGGTAAAGTTCATCCTAAAATGGAAAAAGTGGACACAGGAAACTACTGTGCCACGTCTTCTCCTGACTAGCACAAAGAGCTCATGGAAGGAAAGAACAGCTTGTCAGCATGATACACCAATAAAACACATACACCCTACAGCATTCCTCTGGTCTGTTGAGGCCATCACACAGTAAACTGGAGGCCTGTACGCTGTTACTTTATATTTCTAAACAGCTAGGTAGGACTGTAATGAAACAGAATTTCCCAGCATTACTTCAGTTCTAAGAAGCTGTAGTTTTGCAAGTTTTAAATTTCTTCCCAAGTAATTAAAGGCAATAGCAATAATTCTGAAGATGCTAACCAGAGCGCTAAGGAGTTGGAAGATACACTGCAACTGAAACAAAGGTAAGATTTGTATAATATTGTTGATATTTAACAATAATGAAATACATCGCTACACAGGTGAGATGTTCAACCACTGTTAAGATTTTCCCCACTTCATGTTCAACTTAGGTGCAAATTCTCTTTCTGACATGTCTCCAACAGGGTGTCACAATGGAGAGGATATTTTAGACCTTTTACTGAAGACCATGTCCCACACTGCTGCTGGCTCCAGCAAATTCCAGTCTTTAAATGCCACTTAGACATAATATAAAGAAGAGTACAAAGTTTTTACTTAAAAGTACCAACCCAGGCACAGAATTTGTGTTCTTATACTTTACTGCCTGGATAACAGAAAAAGTTGATTGCAATAATGCACTTACAGAAAGCTGAATGACTGTGGCCATGTTTGCACGGTATTTAAATGTCAAACACTCCAGGGTAAGAAGGGTCTTCTGCATTTCTATTCGAAGGTTGATAAGCAGAGGGGAGTCCTTGCCCCTCACAAGTGCCCCAAAGCGAGAAAGCAATATAAATAAGAAACAGCAAGAATTTACAATGTGAAAAAATAACAACATGACTCATGGGCTTAGGGCCAGTATTTCAGCTGGTGAAAATTACCTGTAGTAATTTATACCTGCTGCAGATCTGGCCTGGAGTCAGCATTTAAGGCCTAATCCTGTAAAATGTTATATCCCTGAGTAACGTACTGCCATTTAACTTGGGGAAGACTACTCAATGCTTCAGGTTACTCAGGTGGTGTAGCACTACAAGGCCTATGGAGGTAAATATATTTATGGAGCACCACACAAGCCTCAAAAGGCTTCAGGGATCACCCAGCATAGAGTAGCTTGATAGCACAGGTAGCTCTGCTGTCAGCCACCCCTGTGCTTTTGGCATGGAGAGAAATGAGGCATGCATAGGGCCATTGAGAGAGGAGGAGCTGAACATCACAGAACATGATTTCTTTGCTGCCTTAACATCCATTAAAACCTTGTGCCAGCAGGGGAAGTCAGATTAAGCTGCCTGATGTTTTGCTCCCACCGAAGCCTCTTGGCCAAGCACCAGGAGCCATACCAGCTCTTTTGTGGCTGACTCCTAGACACAGTGGCAAATCCTGGCTTAATTGATTGACTGGAGAAATGACTGCAATCCAACTGAAAACACCCCAACAAACATAGCAGGGAGGGAAAGAATTTTATTTCTGAAAGCAGAGCATCTAAAGCGACTGAAGTGCTGCCATCCATGAAACAAAAGTGTTGCCATCCCTTATTTAATCAATCCAAATTGAATTTTGACACTGACATTCTGCTGTCAGATGCTGGCAGTGGTGTCTTTAATTGTCTCCAGCTGTGCTCTGCTGCACAACTTCTACTGAAGGGTAATAATTTCATAGTGTGTAATATACCCCCACGTGGCAACACTCAAAAGATTCAGCAGTCTATGGTTTGACCCATGACACCTGTTGAACAGATAGTTCTCCTTCTCTTGGTCAGCTTCAGACTATGCCCTCTTAGAGTGCATTCATTTAGAGACAGTGGAATCAAATTACTGTTATTTAATTCAATTTTGCTCATCCAGACTTTAGAGAACTGGCTTAGCACTGAGCATTTTCCAGTATCGCCTTCACCCAGTAGGACTGTTGGTTGTCTGAGTCCTCTCTGCAATATTTCCAGTATCAGTACTATGCTAGATGTTTGGGGCTAGCCCATAAGGCCAGTTAGGTGTGTGTACAAAGACAGGAGCAGCAGGTGAGATGCATCTATGTAACTTTTCTTTATAGGTGGGGTTTTTTTGCTCTTACTGATATATCAAAGTGCTTCATGGCCGATGCAAAAAAACAATAGCTGGAGTAAAGCCTATTTGTGACAGTGGGAAAAACATCTATCTGGATTCATACCTGGGACTTGCAGACAGCAACTTTCAGCCAGAAATAAGTATATGTTCATAGTTTAACACATCTGTAACCTAATTCACAGGCACTGCTGGAACCCACAGGATCCTGTTGACATCTTACAGGCAGGGCCATCTCATACCCTGATAGTCAAGAACTGAATCACTACTTGTAACATGAATGACCCCATGTAATTAATCAAAACTCTTCTGATTCTAGTAGATCTCTCATAACAGCCATGAAAATTGAAGAGTAGTGAAGAAGGGAGAACTGCCTTTCTTCCAACTGAATAGTGACAGAATTTTTAAAAGCTAAGAGAATTAAGATCCTAAACCTGCCATTTCAGATGGAGTTCAGGTACAGGATCAGATTTTTAAAGTCTGTCAATGTTTTTTAAGCCATTTTTTGAAATCCATATGCAAACATCCATATTTCAAATCCTACCTTCTAGGTGCCCTGACAGATTCAGATTTATCTATATGATTTAAGTCATGTTCGTTGAGAAGGTGCTCAGAGAAATGCCCACTGAGGGTAGGAGGATGAATAAAAGAGTCTCAAAAATATTGAAGCAAGAGGTTTCTAAGTGTCGTATCTCAGAAAGACTCAAAAGTATAATGCTGGCATGACTGAGGAACTCACCCTACGTTTGAATTCACCAGTGACCTCCCCGAACAGAGAGGTATCAAAAGGACAGTTTTTAGTTTCTTAGAAAAAAAACTGGGAGAAGTGCTCCTTGTGACCACAAAGAGTTGAGGTTAAAAGCTTGATAAAATGGAGAGCAGTGATGAGTGGCATTCTTCAGGGATCAGTATTGGTTTTGTCAGTGACATGAACAGTGGGATTGAGCACACCCTCATCAAGTCTGCCAAGACACCAAGATGTGTGATGCAATCAACATGCTGGAGGGAAGGGATGCCATCCAGAGTGATCTCAACAGTCTTGAAAGGTGCACCAGTGCGTACCTCATGAAGTTCAACAAGGCCATGAGCAAGATCCTGCAATTTCAGAAACATTTAAACAGCCAATTCCCTTGGCAACTTATCCTCTTGGAAACATCATTAAGTAACTACTTAAACTGGTAACAGCTGAGGCTCCAATGCAAATCAATGGGTGGGATTAACCTTCTGTGAAGTGAGTAAATTAAATGAGCTTCCTGTAGTCAATGGAGTCTCTTCTACATTTGGTTTAGGTGTCCCCTAAATCAGCTGTTTGGAGAACTTCTCCTGAAGTGTCTAATCTCAGACTTGCATTGTCTTGGTAGTGTCAGGGTGGACGATTCGGTATTACAACACTGAATGGAACTATGCCTGAGAATGTGGCTCTGCTGCTTTTGGAATTTCTACTTCCCCACTCTGCAGACTTTCAGTATTAATATAAAGATCCCAAATGTGACCCATTCTGCAAGAGGAGCCCTGCTGTTAGCTTACCCATGCAACTGCTGCAATGTCTGAACTCTTAGAAACTATCTTCCTGGATAGTGAATTCACCAAGCACAAAGGCACAAGCATTGTATTGCCTCCACAGTGACATATTTAATGTAACTTCAAATTTTAAGAAGCTCTAGCTGTGTATATACAAAATCCACGGTGGAACCATCTGTCTCATCCTCCACTCTAGGCTATTTATGCAGTCCAAGACAATTTATAGCAATCACAGTCCTGATGTGTCACCCTACCAGTAGTAAACAACAGTATTAACAAAAAAAACCCTCACGAACTCTTTGTGATTTTCCTTCTCCCTTCAAAACTATGCTTTATACAACTTTAGTTAAGAATCCTGAGTTAGAAGCCAGAAAAATAGCACTTTCCAACCTCAAAGCAACCACAGAACACTTAATGAATGTATTACCATCTGTCAAATGCACAGGGTGAGGTTCAATTTAGCTGATGATACCTAATTCACAATGACGCTCTGTTTTCAGCAAAAGGTTACTTGATGTTGAACAATGACATTAACAAATCTTGACATGCACAGAAATATAAATAATGTAATAGAAGTTAATAATTGGCAAAATTGTGCTCTCAGTTACACTGACATAAAAGAGGAGTAACTCCACATTGTCAACAAGCTATTCCGTATTTACTCCAGTTCAACCAAGAACATACTTTGGCTCTGTTACTCAACTCTTCAAGCAAAAACTTCCTTAAACTATTAGCCTGTGCAACTATTTCCAGGGGACGAAGAGAAGCTGTTGTGTCTTGAAGTAGTTATACCACAGTGGAACCAAACATGGGAAAACGTAAATGCATGGAGCAATACTTCAAGGGGGGGGGGGGGGGAAGGAAAGGGTGAGCAAATGTCAAAGATTCATTACTAGGTACTCAGGATGAAATTTTGATCGTACCAAAGCCCATGGAAGTTTTGCTGTTGACTCCCTTGGAGTTAGGATTTCTACTGAAGCTTTTAAAGCCAAAAAGGACTACTATTACCAGTTAATCTGACCTCCAAAATAATACTGGCCATAAAACTCCCATCATCACTGGCCATTTCCATCTCTACTTTCTGTGGGTCAAATAAGGCTGAATTAAAGTGGAAAGTAACTAGAAAGTAGTAAAAGAAAAACTGTTTGGAAAAAGTAAAACTGATTC